CCCCAAAACCCCAAAACCCCAAAACCCCAAATTTTGAAGTTTTATTGAAAATAACTCAAAATGGAGCAGGCAGACCCATCACTAAATACAGATTTAGTATCGATAAACACTCAGAACACTTTAAATTCCGAAGAAAAGGAAGACTACAATATCCTACAAACTCAGAAAACAGAGGAAGATCTATGGAACAAATAAGGAGCTCCATCCAGATCTCAGCCAGGATGGACTAAATAATGATGATTTAATACATTTAGTCGAGACTGAAGCTGAAGGAGACACTCTCACAAGTGATAGCAGTCATGTTTATATAGACATCCCTTCTTCTCAAGAGGATACTTTTGAATGCGAGCAGGATGATGATGAATCTAAAACTGTAGACTATACTTCTTATCCTAGTTACGGCGAATCTCAAGAAGAAATACTTGAAAGATACAATGAAATCGGTATCCATGATAACCTCTTGTTCAAAGCAAGAGTGCCTAAGGGTACAATGAACTGATTTGAGCTCATCTGCATCACAGATGACTGCCCTGTAGCTCTCCAGTTTGATTATGATGAGGAGAAATAAGTTATACAGCAGAGACCCTTGCTTTGAGACAACTCATAATCATTTTCTCAATGTTCCTGAAGTAAGGGAACTAGAAGAGGATATCATAAGTGATCTTAGAGACGCATACTTTCATGATCCATGAGTCAATACTCACGATTTTGCGGCAAAAATATCTGAAATAGCCAAAGTAGAAGTTGAGCCTTATGAGTCGCTAATGATTTTGCTCTCCATTAAAAAGGAATTTAGGGTAGATTTAGCCATGCTTGCTCTAGATCTCAAAAATATCCAGCAAGCTCAAGATAATATCCATATCATCCTGAACAAAGGAGATCTAACAGTGATGTTTGTCCAAACTGAAGGAATGAAGCAGCATCTGATTCACAACCCATACAGTATATTAGTGTCAGTATCTTCAGATAAACAAAACAAGTATGGATTCCATGTTATAACTTTCACCTCAATCACAATATTCGGCCAAGCAGTCACCTGAGGCCTAGGATTTATCAACATAAAATCTGATGATACTTTTGGCTGGGTTTTCAGCAAATTTTTAGATAGAGCAGGGCAGCTTCTCAAAGGAAAATATCCTCCGATATTCATAATCCCATTTGAAGCTGAAGTAATTGCTGCAGGGTGGAATACGCTTGGACAGGTATCCAGAATGTATTGTAGTCAATACAGTATGATCAATGCAGTGAGAGATATTCTTCGAGACTACCTTGACGACGATGAAGAAGATGCTAAACTTGTTTTCACCCTCTCACTGAAAATTATCACAGAAACTTCACTAAAGAAATGGGAAAAACTTGAAGAGAAAATCATCGAGAAGCTTGGCTTCTGCAAATATGTCTACAGATGGTACGATAAGTTTTTCTTCGACCAAAAAAATCTCTGGAGGATGACTACCAAAGACAAGATGTTCTACACTGGAGGCCTCCATACAAATTATCGTGGCCAAGATATGCATAAATATCTGTTTAAAAAGCTCACATGAGCTAGTGGATTGTTTGAAATAATCAAATTAGTTGAGAAAATCCAATATTACGACTTTTCCCTTAAAATCCTCGACAGAGAAATCTCAATGATCAAGAGTCACCCAGTAAAAGTTGCTATAAAACGGTCTTTCACTCCTTACAGTGTGAGCTTCATGATCAAAGAAATGCTGAAATCCTTCGATCATACAGTAGAAATCATCGAAGAAGAGACAAAATACAAGATAAAAGAGCACAATTCCATTGGTGGGCGAAGTTTTAAGGTAAAATAAGACCAGATCAAAGCAAAAGGCAGGAAATTTCAGGAACTTCGAGATCTCATGTAACTGCCCATTCTTCCAGACTCACCTGATGATCTGCAGGCATATTTTCAAAATATTCTCAGTGCTCCAACTGAAGACGGTGCAGTACTTCGACTACATCCCTCACTGGCGAGAAGATGCTAGTCTTAAAAAGTTCAAGGTAAAAGTTGACAAGAAGCGCTTCTGCGCTGGAGTCGTCACCTTCAAGCACGAGAAACGTCTTAGAAGTTTTATGGAGTTCATAGGTGACAAATGCAAGAAAGGTGGCAGCGTTTCCAAAACCGGCAAGAACAAAGGCACCAGAGTTGGTGGCGGCTTTGACAAACGCACTGTCAAAGAGATGAAAGCTAGATATATGGAGAACAAAGAACGCATTCGTCAAGAATTTGGAGATAGGAAGAAAATTGAGATGTACTATGAACAAGCCAAGAAAGATGTACTCAAAGCTAAGAAAAAGAAAGCGAAGAAGAAAGATGTCTTTGATATGACTGAAATCGAGAAGAAGCCCAAACAGAAGTTTAAGAAGGAGCCTAAAAAAGCAAAGAATCAGGGGAGCTCAAGCAGCTGTTCTGACGAGGCGTCATCCTCTTCAGCAGCTGGATCTGATTCTGAATCGGAATCTGAGTCTGATTCAGACTCTTCAGCCTCAGGCTCATCTTCAGCTGAAGTCGATGAAGATGGAGAGATCAAATCAAAGATTCATGAAAAGCTAGAGCAAACTTCTGGAAAGAAAAGAGAGATAAAAGAGCAATCTAAAGCTGCTGAAGAAGAGATAGTAATTCTCTAATCCCCATACTTCGATTTTAGAGAGCTTGGTCTCCAAAATATTTGAACTAATTCCTTAGAGTTTTAAGCTTTTAAAGATTTAAAATATTTAACTTAGACTTCAAATTTACACTTTGATATCGGGGTTTTGGGGTTTTGGGGTTTTGGGGTTTTGGGG